AACGCAAGCACAAAGATGGAAACATCTCTGCCTTTCTTCTTAAGTCATGGTGACAAGTCTCATGGTTATTCTAATTGCCAGGTTTTTTATTTGGATTTCTTGGGGCATAGCACAGTGAAATGAATCATACTCTACTCTTGACTCTTAAGTAAATCATCTGCAGTCTAAACACAAAGGAAATCAAATCAGCCTATTCATTCAGTGATGCATACCTTCGCAATTATGCCAGTACCTGCAGCACTTAGGTGCACATTAATATCTCCTTTCAGCCTCGCTCTGAGGGAGAATCGATGCAATAAACATGGATTGTGTAATAAAAGTGTGCACTGTGCTTGAAAGTTGCACAAGATAAATAATTTTTCTTGCCATCATATGGATGCACAGTGCTGCATTTATAATAGACAGGGGGTCTAAAAAAAAAAGCCCTGAAGACATTTGATTTCTTACAAAACACACAAAGATTGCATGTTGACAGTAAAGAAGAAAATAGGGAAAAGTTACAGTCAGAGGTGCTATAAACAGTGAGCACAAAGGGTAAAGGAAGAATAGACTACTGATTGAACCAGCAATTGCAATCAGCCACAAAGAGAAAACTACACTTGAAAGCCCAATTTTCTCAACATGACGGTAAAGTGTATTTTGTTTTAACTCCCGCTGCAATGTTTTGAAAACATTTTATGCGTTATATAAGCCCGAGCTCAAGGTGCGGCTTGCAGTGGTGAATTCCTCCTATAATATCTTTTCTGACAAGATGAGAAAACATGTTTCTCAAGCTGCCGCACTTGGTTGTCAAGGGAACATTTGTGAAAAAGGAGTGTGTTATGCTCTGAGAAAGCATGCTCAAATATTTGCATAAAGCCCAACACCACATTTAAAGGCAAAGAGATCGAATTGAGCATTTTATTTTCAAAACAGAGCCACTTTGACGAGAACTCTTAAAGCCGGGGATGAGAAAGCCGCAGCGCAGCAGCTCCATGGCTTCCTTACTTCGAGTCCTCTGATGGTGTTTTCTGTTATATGCTTTATGTTATAGAAAATGTGGCTGGTGTTTTATAGTCTGCTATCTGTTGTGTGTTATCCTGCCTGGAGCTGAACAGTGATGATGCAGTGTCCCTGTCCAGAAGCCAAGGACAGTCCTCTGTAGGAGCAGAGCCTGATGGACGAGGGGGAGAGGGCAGAAGAGGACAGACAAGACTCCTGGATGTACTTTTGTTGGCTGATATCTTATAAATCATATTGCATAACCCTGTGTTGGTAGAACTGTATAATTACATTAATCAGGATGGAGAACTTTGACACTATCAGACAGTAACAAAATATAAACTTGTGCATAAATCAGTTCTAGAAGAGACCATGACGATGTGATTTCCTCTCTGCTCATGAATTATAAACGCAGTGTGAAGGAGGACAAAAAGGGGAAAGGCTGAGCTTGTATAAATGAAAATATCCAGCAATTATGACTCAAAGTCCAAGCCCAGGTTAACTGCTCTTTTCAATGGAGAGGTTAACATAGTCTGGGACTCCATTGTATATCACAAAAGCCATGTAAATGAAGGTATACATTGTAGATTACAGGATGAGATGTGGGAGGAATAACAAAGTGGATGATACATGTACTGTATCAAGCTCTTATACTGATTCTGGGGGGAGGGAACTATTATGATCACCGGGATGTGCGGTTGCGGAACAGAGAAGCCATCCGCTCATTTACGTTTAGCGGACGTCGTAGCCAGTGTGACTTTGAGCAGACGAGGGAGCAGGTACCAGTTTAGTGTCTGGCTCAAGGACACATGGCTGTCAAATGGGCGCACTGCCTGTCTGCCTGTGATCAGACCTGTGACCTTTCATTACACAACGATTTTTCTAACCAGCGAGCCACCATCTCTAACAATCTGTTTCAGCATTTCAGCACCACTTTAATGCTTGACACTAAATTGAAGCCTGCCATGTGTGTTTTTTTTTTTTCATAACAAATGTCAAAATGTAAAAACAAAAAAATAAAAATAATAATGTTGCGGAAGGAACATCAACTTTACAATTTTCAAAGAAGGATATAATCCATCACTGCTCTTGTCAAGGCTCAATTATGGTCGATAAATCCAGGGGGAAATAGTCAATATGAAAGCAGCTGTGTGAAAGGCAAACAGCTTTTCAACTTCACATTTCTGAGACATGCTTCCATGGTAAAGGCATGACAGAAGTCGTAAACAGCCATGATGGCAGCTGTTGGTGGATCCACATCTGGTAAATCTACAACCATCATCCATTCATGACTGTAAAAATCTGCACGATTGATTGCAATTATGTTTAGTTGTCATTACACAGTTGGATGAAAAGTGCAGCCACACTTGCATTGAAAACCAATAGTTTTGACTCTTCAATAACTGCCATTCATGGAGTGAGCGGTAAATGGCTTCGTACTGTAGTAATGAAAGCAGTTTGGTTCCTCTGAGGAAGGATTACCGCTAATTGGCCCAGCTGGATAAACAGAGCTAGTGGTGTAGTGCATACTGCATGGCAGAGCAACCACACCAGCCTTCTCCTACCTTTACACATTTTTGCATAAGTATTATCTCCCAGCCCAAGCATTATTACATCTCAGAGGATAAAATGTTCCCTTGACATTTAGACCCTCCCCACACATCTCCTGCTCTCTTTTTTTCCCCCTTCTCTCATCATGTCACTCCTCATCTTGTTTTTTTTTCCACTCCCCGCCTTTCTTATTCGCTCTCCCCCACACCTGTACCTCCCCATCTCCCCTTACCCCTCATCTCTTTTGGTCCCTGGCCCCATCTCTGTCTCCTGATTCACTGCTCTGTCAGTAGATCAATAGAAAGACTCTGTGTCAGGAGGAGCCACTGCACGCCTCACACCCCCCTCCTCTACCTCCCTCCCGCCCTCCCTCCCCCCCTATGTCTCCCCAGACTGCAGGCACACAGCCTGCTGGGAAGCTGGTTTTCTACATCCCGTACTGCGAGACACCCCCCCCCCCATCACTTTTCATCCCTGCACCTCGAACTCGATGGAGAGGAGTAAATGCACGGCGCCTTAATGGGCTTCTCAAAGAAGAAGGAAGCCAGGGCTTTTTCTGGGAGCCAAAAAAGAAACAGCCCAAGAAAATAGGATATCAGCACAAGACACAATGTGAAAAGAAGAGAGGGATGTGAGAGGAAAAGAAAAATAGGGTGAGAGAGAGAAGTTGTGCATTCAGCTAAGCTGCAAAAGGCTGGCTCGTCTTCCCTCCCCTCCCCGCCTTTCTCCACCCCCTGGAAAAGTGCTCTCTCTCTCTCCCTCTTTTCTCTCTCCCTCTCTCTGCAGCTGTGGTCTGCTGAGCGTCACCTCCACACAGCAAGTGCCTTTACTCGAGCAGAAGAGGGAGAAGGAAGAGGAGGGTAGCTGAGAGAGAGAGAGAGAGAGAGAGAGAGAGAGAGAGAAAGAGAGAGAGAGAGAGAGAGAGAGAGAGAGAGAGAGAGAGAGAGAGAGACAGACAGAAAGAGAAAAAAGACCCAGGAGTGTGTCTGAACACACCAGAGGAGCATCTCCCTGACTTCGCAGAGAGGGCTGAGAAGTGTACAGAGACAGACGGGCAGAGAGGCAGGCGGCGTTGGAGTATCACAGCGCTGGTGGTGCTGGCAGAGCATGCTGAGTGGAGACAGGGGAATCCACTGGCGCTGTTGATCCTGGTGTCCCTGGCAAAAGCTGCTTGAGCAAGAGACAGAAAACGGCGCAGCAGCCAGGATCTCGCCAGGGGGGGGGGCTACATTTTACAGCGACAACGAAGCGTGGAGACAGCTGAAACCTGCACGCATACACATATACACACACACGCGCATGCACACAGAAACACAGCAAGGGAAAACACACATGCACACAGCTGAGAGGGGAAGGACAGTCAGACACACGCTGCATTTAAAAGATTCACCACAACCCTGCTTTTTTCTTTTGAAACTTACAGGCTGAGAAACAGGAAAACAGCCACAAAATGTTTTATTTTCTTGTCCAGGGATGGTGGATGCTGGAGAGGAAAACTTCTGGAGAGGAAAATCTCTTTTAAGCACGACTTACTGCAGAGGTTCTTCCACTAACTTTACCACTTTTTCTTTTTTCTTTTGTGGAGTTGGGGGTTTAAATCCTCTATCTGAGCACAACACAAAATAACCTCTATTCTTAGTTGCAGAAATTGAGAGCAGTCTTTGTGACCATTAAGATGCTTCCTCCTGATTCAGTCTCAGCAGTAAGTGGATTATGACGGCAATATTTTGGGATTTCTCTTTTGCTTGAAAAAAAGAAAAGACAAGAAAAAAGAAAATATATCCATGACTGGTGGATTTACGCCTGTCAGAGAAGGAGAGGATCCCGTGCGTTTTCTCCTCTCTCCTCCTGTGGATTACAGATGGGCTTTGTGATCTCCCAGTGCAGTCTCATGGATGATCGCTCGCTGCCAGTCATTAGGATAAAGTACAAAGAGGGACACAAGTGAGTATTCAGCTGGATTTTTATCTGCGAGGCTTAAGCTTGTATAAAAACAAGGGTGCTGAGAGTGAGTCTGTAATGAGAGCACGTTGCAGCAGCTTTTTTTTTTCTCCTTAAATAACAGAAATTGTCATCTCATTGATTAAGCTGTTGTGTTTAATGAATGATTATCAGGGTGTAAAAGGCAGACACATCCTGATATTTATCTTTTTTTTTTTACATGAATGAACCTGTATGTTTACAGACCATTTACCAATGAACATAATTTACTAAATAAGGGGTACTGTCTACCCGGCAGGTGGCTTGGGCACAAGCGGAGATTGATTGAAGTGATCTGTGTGAATCCTATTAATGCATCCTGGATTCTCGCCAAGGTAGAAGCAATGGAGGGGAACACTGCTGTCTAGCAGCACTATCTGATCTGCCTCCTCACTGGACAAACTGAGGACCCTTTCCACCCCCCACCCCCCCTCTTCAACAACACTCCTCCTTCTCCTCCTCCTCCCCCTCCTCTCAGCCAGGCAAGGATGGTACCCCCACCTCCCACCAACAAGCCCCACGTGTGCCTGTCCACCATCCTGATCATGAGCAGTATGGCGCTGATTGATGCCTACCTGGTGGAACAGAACCACGGACCACGCAAGATCGGCATTTGCATCATGGTGATGGTGGGAGACATCTGCTTTCTCATCGTCTTGCGTTACGTAGCGGTGTGGGTGGGCGCTGAGGTGCGCACGGCTAAGCGAGGCTACGCCATGATCCTCTGGTTCCTTTACATCTTCGTTCTGGAGATCAAGGTCTACTTTGTGTATCAAAACTACAAGGCGGACCGGAAGAGCTTGGACGCTCTCGCAAGGAAGGCGCTCACGTTGCTGCTCTCCATCTGCATTCCAGTGCTGTTTGTGGTGCTGGTCGCTATCGACCATATGGAGTACGTCCGCGCCTTCAAGAAGCGCGAGGAGATCCGTAACCGTCTCTTCTGGGTGGTGGTGGACTTGCTGGACATATTGGACATCCAAGCCAACTTGTGGGAGCCTCAAAAGAAGGGGCTCCCTCTGTGGGCGGAAGGCCTGATGTTCTTCTACTGCTACATTCTTCTGCTGGTGCTGCCCTGCGTGTCCTTGAGCGAGATCAGCATGCAGGGCATCAACATCGTGCCCCACAAGATGCTGCTGTACCCCATCCTCAGCCTGGTGACCATCAACATCATCACGCTCTTCATCCGCGGCGGGAACATGATTCTGTACAGGGACGCCAGGGTATCCGGGATCCTGATAGGAAAGAACGTCCTGGCCATCATCCTAAAGACCTGCAGCTTTGTGCAGTACAGGAGACAGTTGCAGAACGCTCCTCCTGCCTTCGGGGTTGAGATGCAGAAAAACTCGGTGGCCCACGCTCGCCCTGCCCCCACCCCACCTCAAGTGGTCATGCAGGACCAGACGCCCCTCCCCGAGGTGACGACGTGCGAGCACACATGACAGAATGGTGAGGTGAATCCTGGAAATGTCGATATGAATATATATGACCCTCAGGACACTGGCAGGGCACAATGTTCCACACCTTTAGGGCATGTGAACACTCATGTGAACACACAGGAGATCATGATCTCTGCTGATGCTTAATGGCACACAGGACACACTGCAGACACTTAGCAAGGATAGAGCAGCGCTGTATCCAAAGCTGTCATGGTGCAAAATACAGTATCACTTGTGACTTTGTTGAAGCACCCCCCCACCCCCCCCCAGTGAATCCAGTTAACTGTGTATTTTTTCTAATTGTACAAAAGAAAAAAGGAAACTACTGGAAGATTAGAGGATATATTTTTGAATTGTGTGTGTTGCATTCTGATGTTAACCTTAAGGGTCTGTGTGCTGTGGTGTGTATTTCTGTTGCTCGAATGTTCGTAGTAGTCGAGGGCTTTAACACGACAAAGTCAGAGGGAGCAACCGATGAGAGAATCAAAGCAATGAGAATGAAAACGACGGTTAAAGCTTTCCCTTGAAAGACGTGTGTTTTTATATGTGATTCTTTGATAAAGTATTGTGTACAAGATAAAGGCTTTCCTGCTCTTTCACTGGCTGTAAAAGGGTTTTTCATGAAATCATTTAAAAATTATTGAATCGATTGATTATGTTTCACTTTCTAATTAAAATTCAGCAAATGTCCTTTAATTAACCTGGGTTACAAAAGAAAATAGACAATGATTTTTTTTCACTATGGTTCAATCTTCAATTAGAGACTGCTTAATTACTGAAGTGGTGCCTTTGCAATGTCATTCATTGTGAGTGAGATCGTCGTCACGTACCAGGTTTCTTATTCTGAGCGAGGTGAAGAACGTGTGAATAAATCCTCTGTGCAGTTACGAGGAGTTTGATTGCTGCAAAGGGTGACTATGGTGCTCCAGCAATGAGACAGAATATACAACCGAGGGGCAACGCTGCAGAATGATTCCCAAATAAGGAAGCCTGTTAAAGATCATCCTGAGGCGTGCAGTGACATTCTGTGCAGGTGATTATTGGCAGCAGAAGTTCAGTACTAGTATAATATGAAAGAGCAAAAAAAAAAAATAAAAAAAAATAAAATACACTCACACAAAAATGACATTTTTACAATAGGTTCCTTCTCTTGTACAGTCTTTGCATAATCTCTCTCTCACCAGTGACTGCTTGCATAATTTAAAGCTGTCCATGTTTGTTAAAAGCCTGAGAGTGCAGAACGTGGTCCAACATTTTCATCTGTGTAAGGCACGGCTAAGGGAAGGTAGCAACTTTCAGTGGCACAAACCAGGCTATCACATTAAAACTGCTGTAGCCAGCATTATTTGTCAGTGTTGTTGGCTGGTAAAGTTACATCAGCAATTTAGACTATATAATATATACCACTGGATTGTATTGTTTTAGCAGCAATGAAAGGAAAACAATCATCCCTTAGAGTAAAACGGAACGTGCTGAATATAGTTGTATTTGATTGTGTCGGTGACAGTGTTAAAACGGAGTCATTCTAGTGTGCTCAACAATATAAAAGGTTTGCATAGCTTGTGCCCAGTGCTGTTACAGGCCTTATAGAAGCTGGTACTGAAACCATTATAAACTCAAAGCATTCTATTGTTACAAAGGACACAACACATTAATAATCTAAATAGTCTGATCCCACAAGGCCATTCTCTCTCAAGTGAATGAAACAGTAGATGGTGGATAGGTCATGTTTGCTGGAACGCAGACAATGTGCTGAGAGAACGACTTCTACAGTTGCAAGTCAACCAGCAGCACCAGTTTTATTTAAGGAGCAGGACTGCTGCTGCCTAATTACAAACTACATTCATGTGCACAGACTCCCATACAGGGTCAGAGAAGGGCTTACATCTATCGCAGCACGCAAGGTGTATGGAGGGCAGAGAAACACCCTGGAGCGGCCAGCGGTCGACTGCAGACCTAACAAAGAAACACGTACACTCCTTCTGATGTTATTTGAGTCTGGAGTTCATGTGACCTGCATGTATTTCGGCCGTGTGGGGAGGGAGAAGCATCTCTGTGAAAACAGCTGGACACAAAGACAACTGATGCGATGATCCAAACCTGAGTTCTTCTCGCCGCGATGTGACACACTGTGTAAAACAGCTACTTTACACGAGTATGATGGGTGTTTTGCCATGAGTGCGACCATATGATGCGCTATAGTCACACACCAAAACCAGATGGCTGAAGAAGTGATAATGAGCTCGTTCTGGCTCAATCCAAAAGCCTTTCCTCTCTGTACAGTATGATGATTCTTAAGTCAAACATAAGCACAAGTTTATGATCATGAACTGTATTGATTACTCTATTATTATATCTGACCTTGACATATTCAGCAAAAGTATATATATAAAGTGTTTATCGGTATTTGTTTAATCTGTATTTCCTTGTAATATCAACTAACCAGTTATCTCATCCGACTAGAGTTCATGTCTATTTGTTTCTATCATGTGCAAATGCTTTTTAAGAACTAAAAGATGATCGACTCCTCCGGAGCCCACAAGTTTGCCTTTGGGCATTCTCCCAACCCAATCTCACCGCACCCTCCCACCCCATCCCACATCACCCTTTCCGCACTGCCAGATCCTGAATGAATGTTGCATTCATCCAGATGACCATGTTTTTTTGCACTGCAGTCTCCAATGATAATAAACTGGGAAGGCTGTTGGATGCACCTCCACACTTACCACATTAACACTGACAAAGTGGCCTGCGCCAAACAAGCAAGACAAACGGCTGCATTCAATTCACAGCTCGACCTTCGGCAGTCTTGGATGGCAACGGAGCAGGGAAACAAATGTATTTTTCATGGAAGGCATGTAAGAGCACGAGGGGAGCAAACCTGTACAGAAAATGAATGCTCATTGAGTATTGATTCTCCTATCTGGAGGGTAACTGATATTAGACTCTAAAAGACCACTTTCTAAAAACAAATAACAACAGGGATTTTTGTTAGAGGAAGCAGAGGAAAAAAATGTGATGCTGCTGCACTGAATGTATTTAATGGTTCTCTGTAAAGCTGTAACTTAAAGCTCTGGGCATCCTTCACATGAAAATGAATGTTTCAATCTAAAGTTTAGATGCTGTGCACATGAGCAAAGCAAAGAAAGGGTCAAAGAGTTATTGTGCAGAGTGCGGCTCATCTGATCGCTGATAAACATATGATACGTTCACACATTTTCCAAGGACGTGCACATTAGCTCTGGGCCACATTCAACATCCTTCAACAGCTGCAATTATCTATTCCTGCGTCAAAACACTTGTGCAATTTATCTATTTTTTTTCCCCCAGCACAACCAATCACCAAATTACCGCCAGTGTAATCAGAAGGGGTATTCCTCACATTCACCCCTTAGACACGCATGTATGCATTTTATGAGAGCAGATGCGAGAGCAGAGTAGCTCTTCACAGTGCCTCTGTAGCAGGGATGGCTTCACTATCTTCCTCATGCACAGTTCAGCGAGGATTAACAACAACTGTGAAGTGTGAACCCGACGGAGGATCAAGCCTGCGACTCGCAGATAGAGTACGATCTCTCTAATAATCAGGTCACTCTGCTGGACTGCCAGCAACTTTCAGACGACTCAACAGGGAACCCAGGTGTTGGAGATGAGAGCGGGTGGCTCAGAGCGCTGAGAAGTGCTGAACGTAAGTGTGAATTATGGAGAGGTGTTTCAATATTTAAACTTGATGGCAGTTTCTAGCAATTTTTCATTTAAACCCAAGGAGTTCTGTGAGATTTCTATCAGGCGTTGTTGACCTATAAAAGATTCAAATGGATTCTGATTCTCTCTGTTGTCTGCTTATATGTACAGGTATTAGTCAAAGTCCCTGAAGGCCTAAAGGAACATATGCTCTGTATAATACCTATTGTTAAAGGAAATGTCTGTGACTGTGGTTTCATTTCTATTCTTAAGGATTTCTTATTCACTATGACTTAAAAAAGAATATAAAATGACTTGTGAAAAAAATACAGTACACAGGAAGAGGTTTTCCATTCTTTATTTACCTTGGTTCATTATTAAAGCAACAAAAGGTTTCACCGTGTGGCAGGAAGCGTGGTGACAGCTCCACCTCCTGCAGTTGGTCAAGTTCGCTCTGCAACACCTGTCACTCATTTTGATGAGCTGTCTACCTTGAAACAGCATCTAGCCCAAGGCTGAGGGAGCCGCCGTCAAAAAAAGCCACCACAAGCGTTAATAATGAAACAGATGGTGGTGGCAGGCAAATTTGAAGAGAAACAACAATGAGTTCTTTTCTCCGTCCACCATTGTTGCTGCGACCTCCCTGTGCTACACGGCCAACAACCGGCCCACAGCAAATGGATTTCAGCCCAAACTGCGTTGGATTTCATTTAAAAGCCAGTTGCAGGCAAACAGAGAGGGTGCATTAAGGTTAGCCGAGCCAGTGTGATATATGCTGCCGGGTAGAGTTTTAATAGAGGATGTTTTCTCATGTTTGTTATTATGTTGGTTGCTCTTACTTTATCACATTTGTAATACTCTAGTTGCATTGGTGAGGGCCAGTGTGGGAAAGACTGTGTTATTTGTCATTCTAATGAGGTAAACCTCGGTGTTATAATTTTTCCACAGTATGCCCCCGGCATAACAGTGACTACAGCCTCGTAACTGCACAGATATGACTACGCATTCATTGTTGGTTCGGGGCAGTTCTCAGCTGGGTCCTGAAAGATTAAATGGATCCTCACAGAGGAGGTGAGATGTCCCTTACAATGAATACTGGAGCAATACTGGGCAAACAAACTGATACTGTGTCATGCAATAGTTAGTATTTGATTTAAAATGTCTGTTAATGTACCCAATTTTAACTGTGAAAATATGTGGTGGGTTTTTAGGAATGTCAGTCATTGAGCATCTGGCCGAGAAAAGGATAAATGTTTTAGTCAGTTGTATGTTCGGCAGGAGCAAGAAGTGTTTAACAAGAAAACTTTCCATGGTAGAGA